CGCTCGTGCAAGCAGAGGAGCAGTCACCCGGGCGGCAAAAATTGAATAATCGATATAGGTGGCGGTGCCACCGTTTAGTCGATTAAGACTAAAAGAACAGATACTACACTTGATCTAAGCCAAAAGGCCAGAGTGGTAAGGAAATAGAGAAGCCTTCGGGGCAGTTTTTATACACCGAGGTGCTGGCCCGTGCGCCAACCCGGTCACGGAATCAAAAGTGATCCCGAAATCAAATGCGGCCTTCTGTGGTTTGAAACGGTGACGCATACCGGTCCTTGCCTCTGACTACCATCGCTCGGACAGAACACATTCGCAAACACAATATGTGCGAAAAAGGCATTGGGTTCTTCTGACCGAAATATATTGAAGGATAAATGACCGGTGTTATCCTTCGATCTAGTAATTATCCCCATTCGAGCACGGTTGAATGACAAGCCAACCGAAACCATCTAATGTAGTTCTATCTTGTTCTTTACTTCGCTTGTTGCATAATGTGTCCCAGCTTCTTATGTGTCGCGTACTCCTCGGCCTTCTTGTCGGCAAAACTGTACCAACTCGCGAAGCCCCGAAAGTCTTGGCTCTCTGATGTCGAGGATTCTCCGTGCTCGGCTATGCTTCTTGGATGTCACTTTTGTCGAGAGAATACTTCTAAGGCTAACTGTTACACCGAACTCATCGTCGATTCTATTGTCTGCTTGCTATCGCACATAACTACTCTGACGATCTGACGAGGCAACTTATTTATAGAACTGTGTGTAGAATTTCTTTGACTGTTGCGGGGATTCCTAGAGCTTTCCTCATTTTTCCGTAACTCGCGCAACACAGTTTAATTGAACACTTGGGCGGCGCATCGGGCGCAAGCTCGGAGAATGGAGCCTACAAATCAATACGCGGGGATTAAGCGTTGCGCCCTAATGGCTCATACATGGCCTTCGCCTCTTCCGTCGGCGACTTGTCCGTGCGCTTGCTCTCCTCGTGACGGAGTCACGCCTCTGTCCAAGAAGATGCCCAGCGCTGAATCGAAACCCCCGCCTGCATATAAAAGGCTCTACGAACGACACCATCTTGCCAACTACCTCTAGTCTCTCGCTCTTCCTCCGCCTATCATGCTTTTCAAATCTGTTGCTGCTGCGCTCGTCGTCGCCTCTAGCGTCCACGCTCACGCCACTTTCCAGCAATTCTGGAACGGCAACACCGACCTGTCCGGCACTTGCGTTCGCAAGCCGGCGAGCAACTCGCCCGTCTCGAGCGTAAGCAGCGCTGTAAGTTGGCTCCACAAACGCTGCGTTTTTGGGTTAGGCTTGAACTTTCAACGTAGGATCTCGCTTGCAATGCCGGAGCTGCCTCTACAACTGGCATCTGCTCTGTTGCCGCCGGCTCGACCGTCAGCGTCGAGATGCACCAGCAACCCGGTGACCGCAACTGTGCTAACGAGGCGATTGGGGGTAACCACGATGGCCCCACCATCATCTACATGTAAGTACTTTCATGCCCAGAGCTTCTATTAGCTGGAGCTCATCACCCGTTACAACAGGGCCAAGGTCGACAACGCTGCCACCGCTGTGGGATCCTCTGCTGGCTGGTTCAAGGTTGCCCAAACCGGTCTGGTTTCCAAGGACTACTGGGGCACAGACGTGATGAACAAGGCCTGCGGTAAAGTTTCCTTCAAGATCCCCTCGAACATCAAGCCTGGTATGTACTTACCCCTCACGTCTTAATATTTGATCTAACTATTCCACTACCTTAGGTAACTACCTCGTTCGCGCTGAGGTCATCGCTCTGCATGTTGCTGGCTCCGTCGGCGGCGCTCAGTTCTACATGTCTTGCTACCAAATCAACGTTACGGGCGGAGGCAGTGCTAGCCCCGCGACCGTCAAGTTCCCTGGTGCTTACTCGGCTACGTAAGTTCATCCCCAGGCCCTCCAAGTCCAAGGACTAACACCAGGCTATGTAGCGACCCAGGCATCTTGTTCAACCTCTACGGCAGCTACACCACTTACACCGTCCCCGGACCCGCTGTGTACTCCGGATAAATGCAATACCAGATGTCGGTGTAGCATACGGCTTATCGCTTACTTGTACCTGTATGAAACTTGTTTGCATATATGGATACTTTGCAAAACCAAAAAGGGCCTTCGCGCCGCAAGCCGAGTGATTAAGAACTAGTACTCCACGTCCGGAAGGTCGAGTCCAAAGCTTATAAAGAATCTCTTCTACAAATTGCGGATGATTGGTAATAAGAAAGAACAAGAAGACAAAGTAGTTTATCGCGCTTCATTTTGATACTCCTGTTTTTGTTGTTCCACTCGTTCGCTGGTTGATAGCATCATAAAAAACTAATAAGGTCCAAAAGTTGGATCTAAATCACAATGGACAAGGGTGGTTTCGAACCACCGAAATATTCAGAATCAAAATCTGGTGAGCGTCCGTTACGCTACTTGCCCGAGATTCATCTGTTCACCGCCGTTATGCAACACTGACGGTCCTAACTCATTGGCGCCAAGAATGTCCAGTGCAACGACAATATTAGATATTTATTATAGACGCAGTAGGCTGGCTGCTGAACGCTGTTGTGGCACGGCGAACAGCCAGTTATACAATAATCCGAGCAAAGAGTTCGCTCGCCCCTTGATGATTGCGTTTTGGTAGCCGCATATAACCTGTCATACGGATGGACCTGCATCTCGCGCACGGGGTTCTACTACTTCTAAGGCGAGTAATCAGATGCGGTTATGAGTCGCTACTATTCAACAGATTACACAGAAGGACTAGCTAAGCGGTGGCGAGCCCAGCGATGCAGGGTATCACCTAGGGAAGAACTACGACAGTGAGTGTATTCGAACGTATCGAGTCGTCCTTGGATGCCTTTATTTTCTTTACACCTGGCTCCTTGAATGTAACCGTGACATGCCCACTCGCGTCCGCTGGACCGGATACCACAAGACCATGTGCCGAAGCAGCCGAGGCAGGGAGTCCAGCGATCGATGCGTCGGGTACGAAGGCCTTAGTCGAGCCATCGCTGACGGTAACTGAGGAAAGATTACGTCAACCGAGAGAGTGGCACAGGCGGGCGATACTTGCCTTGGAAGGGGACGTTAACCTTGGCCGTAGCAGGTCCGTCAAGTTTCAGGAAATGAGCCTTGTTAAATGCGTCGTAGGCCCACAGGATCTCGTCTTTCTGTGTCACTTTCTGCTGACAACCGCCAACCTACGAACAGGAGTCCGCATCAGTCAAAAACTGGGAAATATATGGAAAGTACTGACCGGGGTAAATTGCCAATTGAGTAAAACTCCCCAAAACTGGCTTGCGGTTTGAACTGATCCGCCGATTTTTGTAACGAAATAATCGTCGAACGAGTCGCTATACTATATCAAACCATGATGATCAGCGCGATCCTTACTCGAACGAACGCCGATCATTCTCAAAAGGAACACACCGTGCCATCCCAGGTAAAACGCGTTAGCTTAGCAGCATCATCTAAGGCACTCGTGCATGTCGGCCCAGGGGTTGGATTCGCGCTCAAGTTAGTTCCATCGCCTGAGGGCAGCTCGTTACCCTGAATCGATGCTGCAGCCATAGTCAAGCTCATGACTTACAGTGATGCGTTCCTCCGCTAGCTGTGGTTACGTTATGGCCCTTGGTGGCAACTACACCTTCGTAGATGGTAGAAGTGGCCCCTTCAATGCGAATGTTAACTAGAGTTAAGCC